TATCCTACAGTACAGGAGTTATCCATTTACAAGCAATGACTAATAGCGATAAAAAGGATTGCGTAAGGAAAAAAAAAATGACTCGAAATCCAACTTAATCTAAGCATTTGTAAGAAAAGTAAACGTATGATCTTTCAACTAAATATTGAACAAGTTCCTGCACTTATTTGTTTATATTTCGTTTGACAGCTTAGTTGATTCGGGTTAAAACAAGCCAGAACTTTTACAACTGTTTAGTTTTACAGGCAATTGCACCCAAGCAATCGATGCACTTTACAAAGAAAATAAAAATGGGAGAAGGGGAACAAAAATAAAATAAAATAAAAAATAAGAATCGAAAGAAAATCGAAAAGTTCTTTTTGTGCCAGCAAGTAATATAGATTAAGTTGAGTCCTTTACTTAACATTTATTAGAGGGCTGTCTCAACGGCTTGAAAGCAAAAATACAATCACTTTGGGAATAGAAAAGCTAAAGTAAAACTCCCAACATTCGAAATTCTAGGAAGGAGATGGAAGAACGATATCCAATTTAAACTGCACCATTTCAAGTGTTACCATCCTGGCCCATTCCCAGCTTAATCAATACTCATTACTGTAATAAGTAATTCGGCTTTGGATTATTTTTTAACTCTTTTCAGGATCGATACGCATTTTCTCCTTTAGCCATGCAGTAGAAAAAGGAGAAGAAGAGGGAGGAAAAAAAAAAGGAAAAATTCCTGGCGGGTAAAAGTAAAATCTGATTAAATATCCAAACTGGGGATGATGTTTGGAAGGAGACTCGCGTTAGAGGCGTCGAACGAGTTTCCCTTTAACACCTCGCCGTTGTCAGAGGGAACGGCAGCCAGTTTGATAGATGAGTGCGTGAATGAAGGTGCCCTTCTTACCCCAAAATAGTACGACCCAGGGTGTTGTGAGGGGGTGTATAAATGAAAAGGCCCCCTTCGGGGCACTTAATCTCCGAGGGCGTGGCCATCGGCCTCCGAGCTAGTTCATTAGACTCCACTGTCCCTTGGAAGCTGGCGCCGAGCAGTTGAAGTAAACAGCACCACTGGAGTGATACTTTATATTCTCAAGTCGGTGTTCTCAGATGTGCCGACAACATAATGGTGTCTCCTTCGACCTAAGTTAAATCAATAAAAGGAAGTGGAGGATTATTTTTGCCTCAATAATTTTTCTTATGTCCACTTATTCTCTTCTTGGAAGCGATGAAGCAGTTGGAGAAGCGATGGTAGTTCATATTGAAAAAATAATATTAGTCGAGGTGTTTTTCTATAACTGCAGCTTCGATGCGTCATTCGATAGCGTTTTGGGTTTTTAAAAAATAAAAAATGGGATGAGAAAATTAAAAATTTATGTTTAAAATTAAAAGAAAAATGTACTCTTAAGAGAAGCTGTAGAGAATTCGTCTAAGATGGTGTAGTGCATATTAAACTGAAAGAATTTTTCTTTTTAATTTGCTATTTCTTTTGAAATGAATGCTAATTTTTAATAAGAGTTATTTTCTTTAAGTCGTAAAAGTATATGTATATGAAATTATAGTTATTAGAGTTGCATTTCTTAGAAGATTTGACTTGTTTAGGGTGGAGTCGTCGGTAAAATTCCAATTCTAAATTCAAGAAAATAAAGGGGAAATTCTCGTAAATATAAAATAACATCATTTTAGCTATCGCCTCTAGACTCTTCTTTATATTTTTAAATCTGGACTATATTATTATCGAATTAATTCCTGTTGCAAATAAAATAAGCGACGAAGAATCCTCAAAGGAATCATTCAAATGAGAATATCGCAAGAAGTATACATCTAAGATAAAAATCGGCATGTACAAGGTTGCATATTTCAAGAACGATCGTGTTGACAGCAAATTACAGCTGGTAGCTTCTTCTCCCTCCCATCCCCTAAAGGACCTACCATAAAAATTGCTTAATTTACCACTCTTATCTCATCCAGAGAATTTTTATAATTTTCGAGATGTAAGATACCAAAAGGCCACATTATGTACCACTTGCCGTGATATAAATAATACATTTGATCGCAAGTGAAAGAAACTTATTCATGATATCTATTCCGAGCAATCAAACCGTGTCTGGCTGGGATGAATTAAGGCCAATGTTGCTAAACTGATCTGGAAGATGGCCAACTCGCATTGGCTTTGTTTGTATAGTAGTAGATATACGGAAGAACGAACAAAAAACTGTCTACAAATAAGAGAGAGAGAGTTGCATTTTCCAGACATTAATGATTGTATCATTAGTATGAAATTAAATTCGGTATCTTTTCTAGCGAAATACATTATACAGGACAGTTTTCGCCTACATACAAAGTAAAAATCTGAATATATAATAAACTCTCATTTTAAGCGACTTTTTCTCCTTGATTGTCATCTCCCTCCTCTGAAAAGAAGTATCAAAGTCCGTGTTTATCTTACCAAATTTTTGTTTTGAAACAATTTTGCTACATACTACATTATAAATTACAAATTCCAGACAGTTCGAAAGCCAAGATATTCCTTGTTTTGAAATGATACAAATTTCAAAGGACACATCTTCAATTTTAAGTAATCAAAGGATAATATTTTTAAAAGTTTTGTAGTATTTAGAATATTTTTTTTGACATTATTAACGTAGCAAGAATTGATATTTATTCCGTCAAAATAAAATTAAAAATTTATCTTAAGAAACACAGATAACAAACAGAGATGTAACTAGCACTCGCATTTCACAAAATCGATACTTATCGCCATTCTTCACTTTATCAAAAACTTTGACAGAAACTTTAAATCAGCCTAAAGGTAAAGGAAAATTCCAAACGTATAATAGAACCCATCTAAGTTAAATTGCTTCTTTGAGAATATCTGACAACTTGTCCATATTACCATAAGGACCCCTAAGGAATAGACACAGCCAACCATCATTTAAACCTCCTATTGCAACAGTTCCACTCTTCTCTTCGAGCCAAAGCCTTGGGCACAAATAAATTGCAACTTTTATACTATATATATATATATATATAGATACATATAGTAACTTTGGAATCTTTTTTCTTTTCTTTTCTTTTCTTTAAAAGTAATTTTTGAGTGTTGTGATTTGGTAGAAGTTTTGCATCCTGAACCAGTTTGAACGGGATTAACAGAATGGATAAGTGAAATTTTCATATTGGATGCAACACGTCCGGAAATAAGCGTGTTGGAACGAATGACTGTTTTACTACTTACGTATCCGAATTTATGACACAGTAGAGAAGATTAGATGGTCCTCTTCGCATATTTTCCACCTGTATCGCTCTTGGTTTAATGCGATCATCATAAAGGCGGTGGATGATGGTTTATTAGATGATAACGTTCTCAATACCGGTAATAGTTACGTATATAAAAAGAAGAGATGATTGTTTTGTAGCTGATAGCGAGTTTCCCAACGAGATTTGATGAGCATTTTTTTCCCCCTAAAGATTAGTAGCTTTTCGATTACCTAACTGATTTTAATGAAGAGTGAAGTAGTTTTATCGTGATTTTTATGATTCTAAGTTGATTAGGACTCTCGGTTCTATTAAAAAATTGAAGAGCATTTATTATTTTTCTTTTGTATTACGAAAGACATTTCTTATTTAGTGTCTTGGTAAAAAAATCAATAAATCTTTTCAATCTTTATCAAGCATTGTGGTTAGTAATACTAGCGCGACTTGATTAGAAGTTTCTTATTTATTTAAAAAAGAGAAAAAAAAGTAGAATTTGTCTTTAGAAAAAAAAAGGGTGAAATACTGGAAAAACAAAAACGTCTTGTGAATTCTCTCTACTAGTTGTTTTTTTAGTAGAAAAACCAGATTTTACGGGGCTATATTTTAATAGCTTTCTGATAGACCGCCTCACTTTTTGGTACTTTTATTATCAAGTGAAGAGCTCTTAAAATTTTGCAGCGATAGAAACCGAATCCATCGATCCTTCTAATGTTACTTTTTTTTTATTTTTTTAAAGCATTCTCAACTCTGATAATCTATAGAATTCTAACTGAAAATTCATTAAAAGTATCCCAATTTTTGTAAAAATTTAAAAACTTCAGAAAAATCTTCTAAGATGTCTTAGGTAATGGATAAGTGCTCGACGTCTCTGATTTATGGTAAAACTTGATGATTATCACATAATGGGTAATAAATCAATATATACGAGCCACTTTATAAGATGAGGCCGAAAAAGAACTACTTCTAGCCAAGAGTCGATATATGGACGTTTCAAAGTTAATTAAGATGCTTCACTGACAGTTATACCGGAATGTGATGACATTTATTGTCGATCTTGGTGACTTTACTTGATTTTATATGCATAAAGCGAAGCTCTCTATATATTTTATGGATTTTTATAACCGTAGTCCAGATTAACTTATGAATTACGATGTGTTCTGTTTACTAATTCAGTTTCTCAGATAAAATCTTGATTTTTTTCTAGTATAAATCTTCTCCTCGATTAAAAAAATATATAAAAAATATATTACGAAACATGCAGAAATTTTCTATTCAATCGTCAAGATTCGGAGTAAATATATATATAATTTTTTTCATCAAGATAATGATGCTTTATAATGGGTTCAAGTTTACCATTAAATGTTTACAGATGCGAAATTTAATGTTGGAGTAGCGATTTTAAGTTATCTTTACCTTCATTTAATTTTATTTATTTATTTATGCTGAATGATTAAGTAATATATCTGAGCTTTTTTTTGATGTTTTAATAAATAATTTTAAATTTAAATGAAAGAAGATTGAGATTTACGAATATTTATCATAAATCTGTCTCTTCTCTTGTTAAAATTTACACTTTTTATGTAAATTAGAAGTTGAAAGGATAGAAATTTGCATCAGATTGCTCTTAAGTCTATGATTCATTTGTAAACCTTGAAAGTGTTCGATGTTATTGTAGGGATAATTACAGTGTACGCGTAGAAAAAAAAAAGAAGTAAAAATCGTTAGCGTGGGCACAAATGGTAGTAGGTGAATTAAAGAACGGTACTCACCGGCTATTTCTAAAGTGGCATTTCTACTTCTGGCTCTTCCCACCTCGTTGCGTGCCACGCACCAGTATGTGCCCGTGTCCTGCTCCCTTTTGCTATGGATGACGTGCAAGAAGAATAGAGAACCACTGGGCAAGGCCATCCTGTTGGCCGTGTTGTGTACAAGTTCTCCATCGTGGTACCACTCGATGGTAGGAGGAGGTTTACCTTCGGCTTTACAGTTCAATGTCACGGGTTCGTGTTTCCTCACTAAAACGTCTGAAGGATGTTCTGTTATTCTCGGTGGGCGGAGTTGAGCTGTGAAGAAAGACAATGACAAAAATAAACTGTCGGCTAAAGTTTCAATAAAAAAGAAATGAATATAATGTACCTTACAAAATAATTTTTTAATACAAAAACAGAATAGAAAAAAAAAAAATATATATATAGATAGATAGATATGTATATGTAATAAAATCGTATAAAAATTCTCCCCGTGTTTAAGAAGCAAAGTCATTCAACTCAATGCAACCGAGATTGATTAATGTCATCTTTAGAAGACTCATTGAGGTTTTGAACTGCTTTAACGATCAATGAAGGAAAGATATCAAAGAGAATTTATATGAATGAAACCCTTCAACTAATGACTGAAAGGGATCTACTACAAAGATTTTAGTTTTATACTGAAAGAACTTTACAGTAGCTGCAAGCATTACCACTAAAACAGAGGAATCGACTTCTGTACAAAACAGTTCTTTACAGTTACCCGAGGCAAACTTTATTTTATAAATTACCTAATACATTGGATAATGTTGTGTAATGTAATTAAAGCTTTTCGCTAAGGTTTGATTACAATTGGTTTATCTCTTAAGCCGATTTTGATAATCTAATTTAGTCGTCACGTGAAACGTCGTTTCTGGTTCCAGAGCCAACTCATCTTGTAAACTATTTGTCAGAAAATAGTAATGAGTTTTGACTAGGATGTAACGTTGTTAGACACGCTAATGAGAAACATATTCGTCAGATACTCATCAGCATTATCAGATGATACACCACCGAGAGAAAAATGCTCTTCTTCTACACGTGTTAAACACGTTAAACTAATTTAAAAGTATGGTGTAGATGACGCAATGGCTAAATTAGTTTGGGGGTATTTTTTTTTCTTCTTTTTTTTTCTTTTGTTTTTAAGATTTCTCCTTGAAGTTTTATAAACTATGAAAACCTGTAAATAAGACAAAACACGGCGTAAAAATTTAATAAAAATATTTCAAACACAATAACTGATTTTTATAGAAAACAGCCATTATTCTAATAGAGTTATCGAATTTGTAGCACCACCCAAATTTTATTTTTTGAAGGAAAGAAAGAAAGAAAAAAAAACATCTTGCAAGATCTCCGCCCCAATGATTAAAATATACGAAAGAAAAAACGTGGCAAAAATGCCTCGCCCAATTTATACCTTTTAGTTTTTAACTTTATGTGATGTAAGTTCCTCCCTAATATAATAGAAAAAATAAAAATGGATTAATCATCGATCGACCTTAATTTTTGCATTTACTTAATAAAGATTTTCTAAAGTAACAAATGAAAAGAGAAAAAAAGAATGCAAACAGATAAAAAGAAATATCATCAGAATGCGTACATCGATCCAAGATATAAATTAGGTCAAAGTTGTTGTCGGCGAGTCAAAAAGAAGCTTTAATAGTTCTACTCAATATAAATTGAATTAAGGAAAAAGGCAGAAAGGCCTGATTGCTAAAAATGATAAAACCTGATTTGAAAATTACGTCTGACGTCAAAAGTCATATCCTAAATTACTTTAAATTAAAAAATTTATGACGAGGTTGAACACTTTTCTTTCATTATGTGAAACTTTTAACTCTTGTTTCTTCCCGATGTTTCGCTTTAAATTGAATTAAATATGTTACTTATATTTAATTTATATTTCGGAGATGAAATTTTATAGGTTAAACGTATTTAAGATACTTTTTTTTTTTTTTTATAGAAATGCTTTTATTTTTGTTGTAGAATTAGTCTTTGTAATTGGTAAAGAGCTTTTTAATGTATTCAATCTCTATTTTTCAATAGTATAAAGCGAATTAAAGAAGTGAAAATTCGAGTAATTTTTACATGTTTTTAACAGATTTAAAAAAAAAATTAAATATAACATTTCTAAATTGGTTTTTTTTTTTTTAAATTCAATTTTATAACGAAATTCCACAAATTATAAAATAATCTTCAGATTTAAAATTTCTCGCCTCGAAGAAAATAAAATTGCAAATGGCGCTTAAGTTATGTGACTATAACGGGCGTAAAAATGCAAATCCTCCTCTTCTAAGCTAAATTTAAGGCACGATTTTTAAGCCTAGGTTCTCGACTTTCTTCTTCTTCTTTTTTATACGCATGCGGTCAACTAAGAGTATTATTTAATTATCTTTAGCCATTTCTTCTACCTCTGCTTCTTTCGTGCAATCGCTGCTTAACTCCCAGTTTCGATCGTTTCTGCAAAAGGAAGTTTGGCTGAAAATTCGTGTCATTTATTCATTAACATTACTCACGTCTCCTCCTTTTCGGCTACATTGTTACTGATGCAGAAGTAAAGTTTTAATCCGTATTAAAGTTAAATGGAAGAAGGAAGTGATAACTCTAATTTTGTTAACTAAGAATGACAAGTGTCCGGTTTGTTTCCTCTTACGAAAACACCCCCCGAGGGAGAGTAGAATGTAGAGTTGTGATGTCATAACCGTGCATAAATAATTAAGCATCGAAACACTGCCGAAACTTAACAACTTCCCTAGCACGAAATAATAAACATGTCAAGGGTAGAGAAGGGATACACCCTTTGTGCTGAAATCATCGTGTTATGTTGTACTGTATAGCCTCCAGGATAAACTTTTACTTTTGTATGCTTTTTAACTAATTCTTCTAACTTTATCCATAATAGCTAGTTGCTCTTTAATAATTTATCTTTTGTCGGGGTGACAGACGTGAATGAAGCACGCTAGTGTCGTTGCAATGAGTTGTAGCACTAATAATACTTTGACGTGCTTTTACTGTTGCATGCTCAGCTATATGTATATTTATATGAAGCAAGAACTCTATAAATTTTCTTAATAAATGTTTAACATGAATTTAATGTCGTTTTTATAAATAGTAAATTAAGATTTAATTTTTTCTCTCTCCTCTTCTTTATCTTGTAGAATTGTCATGAAATTTCTTAAAGAATACTTTTATTTTCTATTATTTTTTAGTATATCTAACGATTATATATATATAACTAAACACTTTGCTTATAATAGGCCTATGCCAGTATATAAGAGCAAATTTATATCTAAAATTTAAATATTTTGCACTTAAAAGAATATGACGTTGTAAAACCAGTATAGAAAACAAGAACTTGTGATAATTCCTTATGAAAATTATGAAACCAGCACAGAAACGTGACATTAATAGAAGTTGATGGTGTAAAAGATCATCTGCGGGGAGCTTTGGCCGTTTTTCATTTAAATTCTTGTTAGTGTAACCCTTATTTACATAGCATAAATGAATTCTCTAATAAAAGTTGTAGAATATTGTCCAATAGTTAAAATAAGAGAGTTTTCCTGCTAGTTTTAACAAACTAGAAACAGTAAATTATCTTAGTGCACGAACTGTACAAACAGGCGTAGTACATCTCTTCCATCTTCTAACAATGATTTTCCGATAATCAACAAATTTGTTTAAATTAAAGAGCAATTGAATCATCGAATCTCGATATTGATGACCATAGACACTAAACAACTTCAACCCCGTCCTTACAAAGTAGACAGAAGTCATTAACCTTTTGAGAAGGTTTCCTTTTTGGGAAAACAACTTCTGACGAGACAACCGTTTTCGACTTTCAATTAAATTACTACTACATAATTAGAATGACTTCGACCATCCTGGCAGGAGGTAAAGCTGTTAACGGCGTATGACTAAACTCCACTCTTGCGAATAAGAGCAGTAACTTTCGAGCTTGACGAAACTTTACTTAATTGAGTCGATTGTAATTTGCTAGAAGGACCTTATTTAAAGATGTTAGAGTATAAAGCAAATGGCATGACGAACGTGTCGCAAATGTGAATAAGGAAACCTTCCATTCAGGGATGATGATGAGTTAAATCTTCTCCAACGTAATTGCGTATCTATAGAAACAGCTCGTGAGATATCTTTACGAGGGTTAAATTTATAATTTCTAATTAAAAAAATAGGGGGAGAATAAGAAGGTTGAACAGAAAATAAAGACGGCAGTAGAACGATGGCAATAAGATGTTTTCTTTAATTTTAAATTCTAAACTAGTCAGTGTCATTGAGAAAGGAAGGTGGGCCCAGGACCCTGTTGTGTTTGACGAGCTCCAAATGAAGCAATATCCATGCAAGATAAGAAGTGGAACATTTAACTGTGTGAATTATAGCATAGACGTGATCCAATTGGGAGAGGGTACGGTCGAAGAATACAATCTCGTAATATTTGCAAATGCGGCACGTAAGCAAAAATCCCATTGATTGAAAAGGTAGGAAGTGAGACCGTCCCTCCCCTTTTTAATATTCCTTCATCGCAATCCACTTTGCTTCCTCACCGACTATTAACCTTGCGCATACAGTCGGAGGTTAGGTCGAATGTCTAAACATGTTTAAGTTTGCAGTTGATGAGATGGGTGTGAAATTCGGGTGGTTGAAACCGGTCTGGTAAATCACCTTCCTCCGGTACGGGTCTTGGATGTCGAATACAAATGACCCTGTGACGTGACCTGCCGAGCTCCTTGCTGAGTAGCTGACGGTCAGGCAGTATGCGTCATAAGTTCTCGTAATGGTCTGTGCATTGCTTAGTCGTGCATGATTTAAACGTTTATGTCTACTTTTCTCTCCGGATATCAACAGGAGACTCACCTGTGCCACTATTTTTCGTGATTCCTTTGAATAATATATAAACTAAATTACCTAGCTTGCGGTTACGTGGGGGGAGGAGTGTTTTCATAGTTAAAACTATTCACTAACCTGTAGACCTAGAAAAAATAGCACAGAAGATTTCTAAATAAAGAGATTCTATTTAAAATTGTTTCGTTTTCAATGATTAACTCGTATATCTGATACGAGAGCATTAAATTGCCATTGCACATACACAGCGGGATGGCTTTTTTTCTTTATGTGTTTGATCATTATCTCAGGGTATGTCTTAGAAAGGTTGAAAGTCTCAATAAACAATATTATCTGACGTATAAGGCATCAATTTTGATTACAGTTACATCTATATTCTCTTAGTTTCGGCGCGATTTTAGAAGGGAATCATAATGCGT